CCTTTTTGTCTCCTTTTTTGGTCTTTTTTTTCCTTTTTTTGTCCTTTTTTGGACACTTTTTGGGCTCTTTTTGGCCTCTTTTTGTCTTCTTTTTGCTTCCTGGAAAAGGTCCTGTTTAAAGGCCTTATTTATATTTAAAGTGTTTCACAAAAAAGATTTATTTAAAGTCAAAAAGGCTCATTTAAAGGCCTCATTTAAATTTAAAATGTCTCCTTTGAAAGATTTATTTAAAAATTTCTTTTTCTGTTTTTAAACAGCTCTTTATCTGCGGTGTCTGTACACCGCTTGTGCATGCATTTGAAAATTTAAAATTTGAAAATTTGAAATTCAAAAAACAAATAAAGAAATATCTTTTATGTTTATTTGGATGCATATGTGTGGATATGTACTTCAGATTTATTTTTGTTTTTTTCTTTTATTTGTAATTGATAAAGTATTATCTGCATGCATTTATGTACACTTTCTCAAGATTTGTTTGTTTGTAGTAAAGTGCATGCATGCGAATTATGTACATTAAAAACAAATACAATTTCTAATAATGAATTTAATGTGCATCTAGTGCACATTTTATGGTACAGAGTATAAATGCAATGCGTACAAAATATATATAATATATAATATATATTATATGTTATATATTATATATTATATATTACATATTATATATTATATATAACACATTATATATTATAATATATATAGTATGTAATACATAATCTATAATATTTATCATATATTATATATACATGAAATATATAATATATATAATGTAATATATAATATATAGTATATGATATATAATGTACAATATATAATAAATATAATATATAATATACAACATATAATATATATAATATACAGCATATAGTATGTAGAATATATAATATATAATAAATAATATATAACACTTATGCCTATATATTTATGTGTATATATATTTATATAATGCATATACTCATTTAGAAACGGAGATACATAATATATATGTTTAGTATTTATAAATATATTTCATTACTTATATTTACATATATATCTGCATGCAAACATTATATTCACATTATTTATATTCTATATCTGCATGCATTTCAAAAGCGCCATTTATTTATTTATTTATTTATCTAAACTTTTATTTCACATTATAGAATTTCGAAAATGCCATTTATTTATTAATGGATATTTCAAAAAACCATTTATTTATTAATGTGTATTTCAAAAGATATATTTTATTTATTAAAATATATTCCAAAAGTGCCATTTATTTATTAATATATATTTCAAAAGTGCCATTTATTTATTAATATTTATTTCAAAAGTGCCATTTATTAATGAAAATATATTTCAAAAGTGCCATTTATTTATTAATATATATTTCAAAAGTGCCATTTATTTATTTATGTTTCAAAAGTGCCATTTCTTTATTAATATATATTTCAAAAGTGCCATTATTACATTAATTTTTCTCTTTTCATTTTTCGAGATAAGTCCCAAAACTATTTGCAATTAAAATTAATAAAACATTTAAAATAAAACATTTAATTCTGCTGCTGCTTATTTGCTGCTGCTCTTTGCAGGTAAAACTCCCGAGGGCTTTTCTCTCCAGCCTGAAGCCCCACGAGGGCCACGAGAAATGGCTTATACACCCCAAAGAGCTGCAGGTGCTGCTGCTGCTGCTGCTGCTGCTGCTGCTGCTGCTGCTGCTGCTGCTGCTGCTGCTGTTCTTGATTTTGCGGTTGTTGTTGCTGTTGCTGCCCCTGTGCATGCTGCTGCTGCCACTGCCCTTGTTGCTGCTGCTGCAGCTGCTGAAAGCCACGTAGGATGTGCACAGCAGGCAGGCACACTGAAGCAGCAGCAGCAGCAGCAGCAGCAGCAGCAGCAGCAGCTGTTGGCAGTTTCTTATTAAGTGTCCATCTTTATTTTCTGTCCTTAATTGTTTGCTGCGTTGCTTCTTGTCTAGCTCTAGACCCTTGTTTGTGTCTCGAAGTTGCGGCTGCATCTATTCCGCTACTAACTAGCTTCCGGCCCTGCTGCTGCTGCTGCTGCTGCTGCTGCTGCTGCTGCTGCAGCAAAGCCTGGACGAGCTGGCAGCAGCCGCAGGCCCCTTCTGCAGGCTCTTCGTGAGGCCCTCGGGCACTGAAGATGTTGCCCGCGTTTACGCGGAGGCCCCCGAGAGCAGCACAGCCCAGCGTTTGGCCCAGGCGGCGCTGCAGCTGCTGCAGCAGGCAGCAGCAGCAGCAGCAGCAGCAGCAGCAGGCAGCAGCAGCGCCAACTGCTGCAGCACAAGCCACTGACGCCGTCTCTCCCGGCGCATGCAAACAAAAGCTGAAGCAAAATTCAGCACTTAGCAGTCCTAAGGTGCTGCATGCAAACAGGAGGGCACAGCCCCACCTCCCCAAGGGGGCCCCAGGGGGCCCCTAGGGGGCCCCCAGGGCCCCCTACCCACTTGGGGGCCCCCAGTAAGCCCTTATCTGGGGCCCCCTGTTGGCCCGAGGCCGTGTGGGGCCCCCCGGGGGGCCCCCAATGCAGCTAGGGGCCCCATAGGGCCCCCTAGGGGCCCCTCGGGCGCTCTGTGTCTTGGGGGAGCTGCTGCAGGGGGCCCCCTAGGGCTGCGCTGGGGGCCCCTAAAAGGACTAGTGGGGGCCCCCAGGGGCCCTAGGGGTCCCCGGGGGCCCTAGGGGCCCCCCTACAGCTGCTGCAGCGGGGGCCCTAGGGGCCCCCCTGCAGCTGGGGGCCCCTGAAGAGGCTAGAGGGGGGCCCCCAGGGGCCCTAGGGGCCCCAGGGGCCCCCCTGCAGCTGCTGCAGGGCCCCTTTTGGGGGGCCCAAGTGCAGCAGGCAGCTGCTTCTGTATTTGATATATTTGAGGCAGCATTTGATAAATTTAATTTCTTTTTATTTGATAATTATTTGCTGCTGCTGCTCTTCTGGCTGCTGCTAGCTGGCTCTTCGGTGTCTGCTGCTGCTGCTTTCTGAGGCCTCGGAGCTGCTCGTTGCTGCAGATTCACGCGGTCCTGCTGCGGCCTCACTGCAACAGCAGCAGCGGCAACAGCTGCTGCTGCTGCTGCTGCTGCTGCCGCTTTTGCTGCTGCTGCTGCTGCTGCTGCTGCTGCTGCTGTTCATCCTGGGATGTCTGACGGCTTGCTTTTCCGAGTGAGCTGCAGACGGCCCCGAGAAAATTTAAAACCTGATGATCTCCACAAACCCTTCATGGGCATGGTCTCTGTTGCTGCTGCTGCTGCTGCTGCTGCAGCTGCTGTTGCTGCTGCTGCTGGAGCTGCTGCTGCTGCTGCTGCGGTTGGTTTTGCTGACGCCGGAGGTTCTTCTGTCGCTGCTGGCGACGGCGCTGCAGCAAGGGTCTGCATCTCGCTCGGCTCGTGTGCTGCTGCTGCAGTTCCTGCTGCTGCTGCTGCGGGTGCTGCAGCTGCTGCCGCTGCTGCTGCGGGAGCTGCTGCTGCTCGCGCTGCTGCTGCGGGAGTTGCTGCTGCTCGCGCTGCTGCTGCTGCTTCCCTCAAGACACGCCGCGAGGCCCCCGGCGTGCTGCTGTAGTAGTCCCAGCCAGGAATGCGCAAAGTCGAAGTGTGGGGCCCCACAGCAGCAGTGTGGGGCCCCACAGCAGCAGTGTGGGGCCCCACACTGCTGCTGCTGAGTTCTCCCGCCAGCAGCTGCATCCAGGGTGCCTTTGTGTCTCTGCCGCTGCAGCCCGAGAGGGCCAGGAAGCCTCGCCCCTCTCTCCCAGCTGCAGCAGCAGCGCAGCAGCAGCACAGCAGCAGCAGCAGCGACCTGCGTGGTCCTTGCAGCCACGGCGCAGTCCCAGCAGCAGCAGCAGCAGCAGCAGCAGCAGCAGCAGCAGCAGCAGGAACGGCAGCAGCCGCGGGAGACTGGACTTACACTTTAGCTGGGGTGCAAACAGAGTGGTGTCTGAAAGCGACGCAGCAACATATGCTGCTGTTGCTGCCAGTGCTACTGGCTGCGCAGCAGCAGCAGGGTCAGCAGCAGCAGCAGCAGTTGCTGCTGCTTCCGCGTCGGGCCTCCCTTGCTGCTGCTCCTCCAGCAGCACGAGCCGAGCTGCTGCTGGCAGCAGCGGGTCCACTGTAGCTCCAACCCAGAGGGCCCTGAGGTCCTGCATAGACAGCAAGGCGCTGCTGTCTACGCCCTGCAGCACAAACAGCAGCAGCAGCAGCAGCAGCAGCAGCAGCAGCAGCAGCAGCAGCAGTAGCAGTAGCAGCAGTGAGGGCATCACAGGAGTGTCTGGACGTGACTTTGCTGCAGCGTAGAGGCCTCCACAGCGCGCATTCAGCTGCACCACATCCCTAGCAGCAGCAGCAGCAGCAGCAGCAGCAGCAGCAGCAGCAGCAGCAGCTGACCTGCTGCAGCAGCAGCTGGTTGTGTCTTTGAATTTGCCTCTGTCTTCTGTTTCTGCAAAGTGCTGCTGCCAGCCACGCAGCCCTCAGCATTTTTCTTAAGTCCATTTCCCACGGCCACGCAGAGAGGCGGTGCAGCTCGCTGAGAGACAGCAGCAGCCGCTGCAGCAGCAGCAGCAGCAGCAGCAGCAGCAGCACAAACAGCAGCAGCAGCTGAAGCGCTACTGCTTCGCGCACAGCGATGACGGAGGCAATACGCAGCAACTGCTGCAGCAGCAGCGACCAGCAGCAGCTGCAGCAGCACAAACAGCAGCAGCGAGCACAGCAGCAGCAGCAGCAGCAGCAGCAGCAGCAGCAGCAGCAACAGCAGCAACAGCAGCAACTCACCTGATTGAATCTGACGAGAGTGGGATGTACGCCGAGCGTTTTCATCTCTGCCAGCACTTCCCAGGCCTGCTCAAACGCATGCTAGGGTTTAGGGTTTAGGGTTTAGGGTTTAGGGTTTAGGGTTTGGAGCTAGGGTTTGAGTTAAAGGGCCTTGAGATAGTGAAAATGCTGCATGCACTGGCACTTCAGGCTCTACACCAGCAGCAGAAGCAGCAGCAGCAGCTGCTGCTGCTGCTGCAGCTACTTTTACGGCTGGTGCAGGAGCTGCTGCTGCTGTTGCAGCTTGTGCTCCTGCTGCAGCAGCAGGTGCTGCTGTTGCAGCTTGTGCTTCTGCTGCAGCAGCAGCTGCTGCTGTTGCAGCTTCTGTTGCTGCTGCTGCTGCTGCTGCTGCTGATAGTGCTCACTTTGTCCAGATCTGGCTCTCGCCTGACGACTGGCCCGTAGAGCTGCAGAGTCAGAGTCACTTCGTCTGGTGGGAGGCCCCGCGAACTGCAGCAGCAGCAGCAGCAGCAGCAGCAGCAGCAACAGCAGCAGCAACAGCAGCAGCAGCAATGACAAGCAGTACAGCATGTCCGTGGCAGCAGCAGGGGAGACGGAAGCAACTTTCAGCGGCAGCAAGGGAAGCAACAGCAGCAGCAGCGGCAGCAGCAGCAGCAACAGGAGCAGCAGCAGCAGCAACAGGAGCAGCAGCAACAGGAGCAGCAGCAGCAGCAACAGCAGCAACAGCAGCATACTTGAATTCCTCTGCAAGGGCCTCAAAGTTTCTCAGTTTGTGTTTCCTGAGGCTCCTCCACATGTACTTGACTAGGTGCCCCTTTTGCTGCTGCACTGCAGCGTCGTGCTGCAGCAGCTGCTGCAGCTGCTGCTGCTGCTTGTCCGTATTCTGCTGCTGCAGCGCACTTTCCGTGGGCCGCTGTAGCAGCGCCGACTGCAGGTGCTGCTGCTGCTGCTGCTCCAGGTGCTGCTGCTGCTGCTGCTGCTTCCGCTGCTGCTTTTGCTGAGTAAGAAGGGCCGCAGCTGGGCTCTGCCCTTTCTTCGCAGGCAGCGCAGCAGCAGCAGCAGCAGCAGCAGCAGCAGCAGCGCCTCTTCCGGTTGCTGCTAGGAGAGCTTGCTGCTGCTGCTGCTGCTGCAGCACGAGAGCTGCCTTCAGCTGCTGCCACGGACTGGCATTAGCATAGTTGCTTGGCGGGGCAGCAAAAACAGCAGCAGCAGCAGCTGGTGCTGAGGCGCCGTCTTCAGCTGCTGCTGCTGCTGCTGCTGCTGGCTCTTGCTGCTGCTCGCTGCTGCTGCGCCTCTCCTTGGCCAGCTGCTGCAGCAGCTTCTGATAAGGAGAGTTGCACGGGGGTTTGCCCCTCACGGCGGACCTCAGGTCAGAGGGTTTGAAGTGCTTGCTGCTGCTGCTGCTGCTGCTGCTGCTGCTGCTGAAGCAGCGGCGGCCTCCCGCAGCAGCTGCTGCTCCCCCTGCTGCAGGAAGCCAACGCGGAAGCAGCAGCAAGGGAGCCATCGCCTCGGAAGCCCATGCATCTGCGGCTGCAGCTGCTGCTGCTCGTGCTCACTCTGCTGCTGCTGCTGCTGCTGCTGCTGCTGCTGCTGCTGCTGCGGCTCTGCGTGTGGCGCTGCAGCAGCTGCATGTGCTGCAGCAAGGCCAATTTTACCTTTAAATAAGGCCAAAATTAATTATTGTGTTTCATACATTAGTTCTACCTCAGCTGGCAAGTATTAGAGGGGCCCCCAGGGTCCTGGGGGGCCCCAGGGGCCCCGCAGCTGGGGCCCCCGGGGCCCCACACCCGGGCGAATTTTTATTAAAAAGCAGCATTTGCTGCTGCCGTTTTGCTGCTACGTGCTGCAGCAGAGAAGCTGCAGCAGCACAGCCGATCCAGTGCAGCAGCAGCAGCAGCAGCAAGACACGCAGCTGCGCGCAGCAGCAGCAGTTCATAACCGTCCCCAGCGTGCAGCAGCAGCCCCTGGGCTGTATGTACACCTCTCAGCAGCAGCAGCTGCTGCCCGCAGCAGCGCAATTTGCTGCTCCCCCAGCTTGCTGCCTCTGCAGCTAGCCATCATTCACCTAGCTGCCACCGCCCAGCTAGCTAGCCAGCTAGCTAGCTAGCTAGCTATTCATCTATCTACCTATCTAGCTGTCAATATCTACCTATCTAGCTCGCTAGCTAGCTAGCCGTCTGCTTAGCTAGCTGCTGCCGTGGCTAGCTAGCTAGCTAGCTAGCTAGCTGTGTCCCAGCTTTAGGGGGCCGAGCCTTGAGTGGAAACTGAGGGTCTTTGCACATGTCATTTAAAATATTTCTTTTTGCTGCAGCAGCAGCAGCTGCTGCTCTTCAGCAGCAGCTGCTGCTGCCTCCCCCACATCTGCTGCTCCGGCTCTGTCTGCTTGCTTCGCCACAGCTCGCTAGCTAGCTAGCCAGCCAGCTAGCCAGCTGTCTAGCTAGCTAGCTAGCTAGCTAGCTGGCTAGCTAGCTAGCTAGCTAGCTAGCTATTCTGCGCTTGGGAGTGTGGCGGTTAGTCGAAGAGAGAGAAGCCCATGTCTCCGTCTTCCTCTTCTTCCTCTGGCTCTGGGGCTTTTGCTGCAGCAGCAGGCGCTGCAGCAGGCGCAGCAGCAGCAGCAGCAGGCGCAGCAGCAGCAGCAAAGGCCTCGGGGTTCTCGACCATCTGCTTGAGCTGCTGCATCTGCGGGAAGCAAAACGGAGTGTCTAGACACAGCGCAGCACAGTTCCGGAAAGCTTCCAAGAGGCTGTGGGGTGCTGCAGCAGCAGAAGGCAGCCCCACAGCCCGCGAGACAGCAGCAACATTTGCTGCTCCAGCAGCAAACCCTTCCAGGATTTGTTCGTCAGTTATGTCCAGCACTGACGCCGAGTACACGCTCCCTGCGCAGCAGCAGCAGCAGCAGCAGCAGCAGCAGGACCTGCAGCAGCAGCAGTGATCCCCGCTTCCCCGGCGCCCCCGTTTCACGCGCAGCAGCAGCAGCAGCAGCAGCGCAGCAGCAGCAGCAGATCTCGGCTTCCCGGACTCCTCCTGCCCCCGTTTCACGCCCACCCGCACCCAAACAGCAGCAGCAGCAGCAGCAGCAGCAGCGCAGCAGCAGCAGCAGATCTCGGCTTCCCCGACTCCTCCTTTCCCCGTTT